TTGGAGGCCATCGCTAGTAGGTTGGGGGCCATTGCTTTTAGGTTGGATCACATTGGGTCACTATAGCTGGAAACAAACATTTTAGCCAACAACCCGCAGCACCTCGCAATTTCCTTGGAATCCCAGTCACTATTGAAGACGACACTTCTGCGGGACCGCCTTGACCGTCGCCGGTCGTTTTTAGGCAGCTGAGGCCAAACATAGCTCGCATCGATGGTGACGAGCAAACAAACCAAAAGCAAACCCAAAGGACTGCAAAGATTCACGACAAATATGGTAATCAGCCTTGCAATGTTCACCTGAAAATTGTCCTCGGCTGCAGTCCATCGCTGGCATTTGTTCAGCGGGGCCATGTTTACGACGCCCACCCCCCAGCAAAACTATCAACATACCATACCGGACCAGAAACACTAAGAATCTGCCGGCTTAAGTACTAGCGGAGCTGAACACCTATGTGAGCGACTCACTTTGGATGCGCGACTCACTGCGGTTTTGGCACACAAAGTTAGATATGACTCTCCATCCTGATTTGCGAGATTAGGTAGCTGTGGCCCTCAGGTGGTTCTGGAAGATTGGAAGATGTTTGCCACAAGCGAAACGCATTCCGTTGGAGTTTTTACAACCCGAGAACCGTAGTTGTTCGTTATTTCGATCAGTTGCAAAACAAAGTGTCTTGTTTTGGGATGCGACAATCTGTTTTCCTACATTGGTAAACAATGCACGCAACAACCTGCCTCGCGTTCTTGGATGTTTTTGGCAACGTCTCAATGTAGCTACTGGTGGAAATCGTCTGTATAAGCAGTGAACACGAAGAAAAGAGGTGGAGTAGTGACCTAGCTCTTCTTGTTCTTGATGATGGCAGTTGCCTGATATGTCTGCTTTTTATCTTCAAGGATTTACTTTGGAAAATGCAGAGGCAGCAAAATGCATACAACTTATTGTCAAAAACAGAACATTTAGACTGGGAAGAGCTCGTTGAGAAAGGAACTTGACCTTCTTCGGTTCTCAAAGATTATATTGAGAGGGGGGTAGAAAGAGGTGGTAAGCGGAGAATGTAAATCTCTTCATGGGCGCAGGAAGAGCTTGTTAAGGGAAGAGTTGAGGGGAGAGGAAGAGATAAAGAACAGCATTATTGTAGTTGAAGTCAATTGGAGTCAATTGTATCAGCAAGAAGGGAACTGAATCAGCAGAAGAGGAGCCAACTGACAGAACCACTTTTTGAATTGAACATTTGCAAATTACCAAGTAAAGTCACGTGTGGCCTTTGCAAAAACACGTGGAAACGCTGGAGCGGAGGATCTCTTTGTGGAGCCCGGACTCAGGAACCTGGTTTGCCTCTTCCCAGGAAAGTCCCCAGCAGAAAAGAAGGCTTGTTCCAGGCCTGCGATGATTAGAGGTCAACAAAACGACAGCAAATTAAAGAGGTTTATGTATCCTAGTTAAAAGTGGTCCAACTTTTTAATGTGACACACATGAAATTCCTTCTTGGGTTTGGCTGGCATCTTGTCCGAATAAAAATATCCAAGAAAAGCAGAAAAACACTTGGTGACCCAATAGAAGGAAACCAACCTTGCATCTGGCCTAGCTCATTTCATTATTTAGCAATATTTAGCATTTATATAGCACAGCCTTTTGATCTAAACGTTCTTAAGACTGACGGTATTTAGGATTACAACAAAACAATAGATATAATCAGTGATATAATCTTTATACATCTTGATAGTCCGCGTTCCTTTCTTTTACGTGACAGTAAAAACATATATTCGAGTCGAGAATGTAAAAAAGAGTCAAACCAGAAAGCACAAATGCCTACTGAAGCAAAAGACATGCCTCTTCAGACTAAGGCAAGCTTGTCGAGGGAAGAGTGCTGAGGAAAAGTGACAAGAACACATGATATTGCAAAATAATTCTACCAACAGTGAAAGAGCTGAACAAAACAAACTAACAAAGCCTGACAAACATAGATGATCACAAGGAATCACAATGTGAAAGCTGACAAAAGCTGAGAGCAACTGGCACCATTTAATTTTCAGGCAAGGCTGACATCTTATCCAACTCAAGAACCAAAACTGTGAGTCATGTCATGTTCCCTCCCGCTCACCACCCCCAGTCACCGACAGTCGGATGAATGAAACGGATGCATGATGGACCCTCTGCTCGTCTCGTGGGTCAAAACCCCGAACATGAACAGATCCCTTTACAAGGGATGTCAACCTCCTATGGTTTGGCGAGGGAGGCTTTGACTCACAGCCATTGCAGCCGGAAGATGGGGAAAGGGAGTGGGGGGTGGAGGGAGTGGAGGTGGAAAGAGCATTAATCAAAACAGGGAGACCCCCAAAGACCCAGTGGAAGAAGCACAACCCATTGGTTGGACACAAGGTCGGGGGTGAACAGTGGGGAGACAATCTTGAAGAACGTTTGGGGTGGCGAGATAGCTTGGCCGCTGTGTTTTGGCTGCGACTTCGGCCACGGAAGGAGGGCGCAGCACCTCCCCCCAAAACAAGCAAGCAGAAACTTTCTCTGACCAGCCGTGTTTCCTGCTGGCTTGCCTTTTGGTTTCAACAGCAGGGACCGGTTGGCATTTTCCCTGCGACTTGGTGGAGAGGGCAGTTGCTAATGATGTTTTTTGTTTTCGTTTGCGTGGCATTGTTGTCGTTACTTGCAAGCTGAGATGGACACCTAAAGTATTTCTTTCCTGCGTTGCATTTTGCTAACCCGTGCTTCCTGCTTCTTCCTTACTGCAATGTTTTCATCGTCTCCTAGCCGCATCCTTGATTGCTGTCTTTATGTTTCTTCCTTCATGTGTTTTTTTGCTCCTGTTTCCTTGTAGCTCCCCTTCCTGAACAGTGTGGGTTCAAAACACGCGACACTCATTTGTGGGAGCCCGGCACCGATTGGCGAAACTCCGTGAAATGATCGCACCCTGAACTTCGATCCTGTTCATCAATGAATTCGTTTAAGGGAAATCTACAGGAAACATCAGGAAACCATAGTTTTCACATGCTTTCGCCTTCCTTTGATAACTTCCCTGGTTGTGAAGAAAAAGACGGGCCGCTGCGCAGTGTGCTACGTTGTCAAGATACACTAGACGTGTGGTGGCTACTGGTGATCCACGGAAAATACTATATCAGTGGACGGCAAACCAAGAACCGTCCATGTTCCGCTTGCCATGCGAGCTCGCAAACAAACAACGAACCAAAGGGATGTGGTCCGAGTATCATTGTGAAAATGTGCACCGGAGAAGATGGAACCGTCCTTGTTGCCGTCCAACGTCTTGTCACTCATGCCGTTCAACGTGTCACTCGTCTCCGCAGGATCCTCTCTCTCTGCATCGGACGCACGCGACTCCTGTCTCGATTGGGCGCACCGCGCCCCGAAAGTGGGGCGACCCAACCGAAAGTGGGGGGAAGTGCCAGGTTGCTGGGACCAACCAGGTTGCTGTGCCACACGATGACTCGCAACCTTTTGTTCTTACGTCCGTCTCACTTGGTTTCCGCAGGCAACTAGTATGCGACCAAACAATATGATGATACGCTAGAATCTTGTCAATATGTATTTCCAACTGGGAATCTATTGTAACCCTGGATGGATCTTAGTTTCGCAACAAACATTTGCTTGCTGTGGAAAGAACTTGCGCCCCCAAGAAGTCTTGCAAGGTTTTTCCTGTCGAGTTTAGCCCTTAGCATGCTTTAGCCAATCATGGAAGCGTAAACCAGCCTCCTGGAGGACTGGTTTGGCCACGTCCACTATGATTGCCTCCACTTCTGCTATCACATCCGTGGATTTCCTGTCCGAGCTCTGGCAGCTGGTGGTTCTCGAGAACAAAGGCTGTTCCTTGGCACAAAGGCTGTTTGCACAAAAGAAGCAAGTTCTCGCCTCTCTGCCGACTGACTCACAGGGCCTGCGAGTCCTCACATTCAACAGATGAAAAGCACGAGAAGAACCGAACATAGAACTGAACACCCGGGCTGACCTGGTTTTCCGAGAAGCACAAGCAGTGTAGGACCGTGGGTTCTTGGCTGGATACAAGACTTAAGTCTTTAAGTTTAAGAAATTGCTATAAGTACTTGCGCGCCTACAACATCCTACAACATTATTGTACAATCATTTATATTTACATCAGAATGTACACAACACATGCTAAATTACACCTAGGCTAGACCTAATAGTGAACAGCCTGTGAAAAGAAGAAATGCTTGTCTGGCTAGTCTGCATGGTTTTACCCCTGCTTTGTTCAAAACAAGGACCTCAAATGGACCTCAAGGACGTCACCGTCGCCAGGGTCAAGCGTCAGGCTCTTCGTCGTCGGGCTCAGGCTGTTCGCCCTTCCCAATCACTGAGGCCAGCCCAGAGTCCTTGAGGACCACACCGTCCGGGCCGCGGCCATGACGTGACGCTTTTGAAGAATGACACAAAACCATTCCCTATCCGGGGGTGCCAGGAGTGTCCGAGTACCTGAGGAGGGTCCGACTGGAGCCCTAGGGTTCCCAAAACACCGGATCCTTAGGGAACGACATCGGTCGCGTCTTTACCGATGCATCACCGAGTCCGCCTTCGTCCGCTTGAGGCGGCCTTGGCTGGATTGGGGGGTTCGGGCGTCAAGACGCTCCGTCCGGGGGGGTCCCCGTTCTCCTCGTTCTTCACTTTCCGGGCCTTTTTCAGCTTCGACTTCGCCTTCAACTTCGCCTTCGGCTCCTTGGGCTCCTTCGCCGACCCACTCTCCTCCATTGGGAGGTGAGCGTTGGCCGGCGGGGCCGAGAATGGGAGCTCAAACGTGCTGCGGGCAGTGAGGCAAAGGACGCACGTTGGTGATGAGGATGGACGGCAGCCAGCGATCTCACTGGTGTTAGTGACAAAAGTCGTTCTTGGCTATACCAGTACTAACCAAAAGCACTGGCATTGTGTATTGGCAATATGTCTTGGCATATTGACTTAAAAAGCTGCAAGTCCAAAAGCCCTGGTCGACTGAGCCGAGCCGAGTTCCCCTCCCATGTTCCTGCCTTCGCGAGTCCACTGAGCCTCGCATGGCTACACCGGTGTCGAGAATTTTGGGTATACCAGCATCAACTCAACCAAATGTCTTGAGTCTTAATAAATCTCTGTTTATTGGATTCCCTGCAAGCCGTCCTGTTCGGCCAGTTCGGCCTTCATTCTCTATTCCTACGTGATTCCACAACAAGCAACGCTCAAATTCTACATGATTCACCTTGACCACCACTCTAGTCTGTGATCGTTTTTGGAACATTGGACCTAAACTTTTTGCACAAATATGCCCATGTCACATGTCGTTTTCGGCTGCCAGGCTCCAATCCTTCGATCGATGGTCAGGCTTCATCCCAGTCTCCTGGTCTACCCAAAAACAACACGTAATTGCAAACTCGTTGATTACTAGTATATTTCAACACCCCAATATATGAGAGAAGCTCGAGGTACACTGCAAATCGGGGAGGGGGGGCGAAAGCAAATCAGGAGTCATCAGCGATGTCGTTGGTAGAAGCCCCTGTTGAGGCAGCCACCGACGCAGGTCTTCTGCGTCGACCGCCATGGATCCCCAGGCCCGGGACTCGGCGGCGGTCGCAAGACGCTTAGACGCCAAACAACAACACAATATGCCACAAAGGTGGGCGCGTTCACGCCTGTGCCATTTTCACTGGATCATATTGGACTGATCGGATAACCAAACATCGCTAAGAGGAAAAAATGACCGGACGAGAAAAAACCCTGTGGCCTTCAACTGCTAAAGCACCCAACGAGGATGTGGGCGAGCGGATTGCGGGCACGGATGACGCGTGGAACAGTAGTTTTACGTCGGGCTGCGTAGCAACCGACGTAACCTAAAATGCACCTAAAATGCACATAGAACGGGGGTGCCGAACCTCACAGCGTCGATACGGTCACTTGCAAAATTCTTGAAACCAACTCTAGATTTAAGAATCCCCCTTCAAATTCTGTAGTGGATATTCTAAAGGGGATATTAAAGATTATTTCGTCTTCCACTTAGCCAAAAGCAAGCAAAGAGTGACTTTGGACGACAAAAGCTGTAAACCTCAGACATTCGATGCTTCGGTCGTGGCCTTGCTGGAAACATGTGGAAAAGAATCAAAGCATCGGTCATGTTCCAGTCTGGAACCTTCCTCAGCCCTCCATTGTCGCCCAAAACTGCGCTCTGGGGCAGCCGGACACACTGAAAGAAAAGCCTGCACTTCTCGATCGGCCGTCGGCCATGTTCGATGATGACCCTGGGTAGCAGGGCGCCCCCTCTTCTCAGATGAAGTGAACGACTAAAATGACCCAACAGTGCTCCAACAGAATGCAGCTGAGCATTCTAGGTAGGCTTGACACCCAAGTATGACCTAATTAGATACTCTGCATGGGTGCAGCAATACATGTCTCAGAGTAGATGGCACACAAGTGACCCAATGTAGGTCGTTCAAGTTGTACAGCTCGAGAATGCCAGTGATGTACAGCCCTAACTGGCTGAAGCTGCCATCAGAACATAGACGTTTTTGACGGGCAAACCCTTTGGCTCCTTTAAAGCGCGGGTGTGAACCACGCTGACGAAAAGTTTCAAGAGAAACGCATCGGCTGTGCCAGCGCTCGATATAGAGTTTGCACGCCGTAGCCGTATCAAAACAGCAGTGGCCTTCGCAACGTAGGGCTTCTGTAGCAGAAGCCTTTGTTCACTGCTGTGTCATTATCGATTCTTGGGTTGAGACCCATTGTAGAAGCTCATGTCCACATGGTCCACGTGATGAGAAAATAGGTCAATTGATTCGTTTGGGGCCCAAACCAACAATGCACCCCCCAAAAGCATGAGCCTCCAACAATGGGTCCCAAACCAACTTGGAACACCCTCCTTTGGAGGTTGTCTCCCAAGTCAAAAGAAACGCTTCAAGGCCTCGGGTAGAGTACCTTGCTGCTTCATTTCCTGTATCTTGTTATAGGCATAGATCCCGGCAGTGGAACATAGCGAGGCAATGGCGGTGAATTGCCCTACCGTCAACTCCATGCCCAAGGTCCGCACCACCAGCGCCGTGTCCAATCTCGTTCCTCAGGCATGTCAAAAGGACCAGTCTTTGCCTGACATTCGTCCCTAGCAAACATGGAGTGATTGCTACACGGGTATCAGCCCGCCTGGCGGCGGTGCAGTGGTTACAAAACCAGAATGGCTTTTTGGCTTGGAGGGGCAACCTTTGCCGGTGGGCCAGGGGGCAGGCAAGACCGGATATCCAGAATGATTGTGGAATCAGAATTGGCACAAACAAACGAACACAGAACGAGCATCTCTGGGCGATCGACTCCGTCAATTGTATGGCAGCCATCGCACTCTTCATTTCGATTTCTTTGTCCTGAAGGCGACTGATATACAGTAATGAGGATGATGAGTGGTTGTCTACATGAGTCTACATGTTGTTCGTAACGACCCCCAATCCCAATCTGAATATATTCACAGCTACATCCAGGCACCTTACAACATCCGGCCTTGAGTTCTTTGAGATTATCCTTCTTCTTCTCCTGGAGGTACAACTTGCCGTGTTGACTGAGCGAAATCTACGGGTCATCGGCAACGAATCCGGGTCCTGAACTGCACACAGCTACGTGATTAGAGGCATCGAAAACAACATCCGGCCTCCAAATTCTTTTGGATTTCGTCCTGACTGACCGATAGAGTCTGCTTTTCTGGACCGATAGAGTCCGGATGAACACTGATCATCCACACGTTGGTGGTAAACCATCCCGAGCTCAAACCTACATAGACAGCAAACTGTGTTACATAGACCCCCAAATAGATAGAAAAGCAAATCCCCACAAAAAAATGTATTGCAACAATTGAAAACCGTGCCACTATATATTCGGGGACCACTATGGATTTTTGTGAGTCCAGAACACGGGAAATACGGACTCAACATCCACATTTCACCTCCCCCCACAGCCAACGCAAGTTGACCGGTGTGTTGTACACTTTCTGCTTGCACTCGGATGAAGACTTTTACATCGCGGACCAAAATTTGCCCGAAACATGTCGGCGGATGAAGCCTGAAGTACAGACCGAGCCCTGAAAGTTCGAACTAAGGGCGATATCGGCTTCTTCCTCTTTACCCTTCCCTCCGTTGGGAGAATACGAGTCTTGCATTGCAATCGGATCACCGGGCATTTTACTGTACTCAAACCTGAAGTACCCCAAAACCTGCATCCCTATTTAATCCAGGGCATGAAGGTTTGCCCAGAGCAAGGTAACGTGGTCACTCGTGGAGCAAAACTACTTTATGAGTCACAAAGGTAATATATTCCTGCTCGGCAAAAGGTGGTCTTGGCCCGTGGCTCCAGTCCTGCTGTGGTTCATCCTGCTGTTCTTTTTCAAGCTTCTCTTTTTCTTCTTTAAGATTGGTAAGTTCTCTTTCCAGCTTGTGAAGATGTGCCCACGACTCCGTCGCATGCCCCCAAAGAAGGTCGACGGTTTCCCGGCTCAAGAGGTTCGCTCGGAGGCCGAAGAGCAACGGGGGCAAAGAGAATATGATGAAGGCAATCAGGAAAATAAACGTCTCGCCGAAGTCTACCTGAAGTCAGATATGATTGATCTCTCTAACAGTCTGATCTGAATCCGGACTTCTTTAGATCTTCTTTAGGTCTTTCGCTCCATACCTTTCGTTGAGGAAAAACCATATGGCATTGCACTGCCAAAATGGGTTTGGGAGCCAAGATGCTCCTGGATTCCAGTTCTCATCGTCTCTGCGCAAGATCAACTGCAAAAGCAGGAGCACCGACGTGCCGATCACTGTGAGAACCTAAGTTTGATCAGCAAAAAACAAACTCAACAATCCCGCAGAAGAAGCTTAAAAACTTGAGTCAAATCTGATCACTCCCGCCAACGTCAAGAAAGCTTGATGTCCATCAATTCAGGCCAAGAACTCCATGGCCGAAGCCGACCTCCAAAGCAAGCTTCCGACGCTCCACGTAAGCGATGAAAAACGAGTAGAGCAAATACCAACCTTGGCCCAAACATTCACCATTCCTGTACATGGAATAGACAGAAACTTTCCAAGGCTGTGGTTGGCAATGGCAACCTTCTGAACATCCTTCTGTGGCTTAATCTATTTCTTGTTCTTACGCCAATTATGTTGGTTGTATCATGCATCTCCCAAGCTCCTCCAGCCAAATTCCCAAGAAAAATGCCAAACTCAAGCAAGCAACCTGTAATATCATCAAAGTTACCGACTCGGACATGCGGAAGAAGATTTGCTGCAGCAGCTTTCCCGCCCATCAGCATTGCGTTGAACATCTTAAGTGACTGCGACATGTTGGAGAAGAGGTTGCGCAATTGAGTCGGGTACCACAAAGCCATCATAGAACCATTCACAAAGACAAACATCATAAATGAAATCATTACCACAAAGTCACCGACAGTCTGTGGCGCATGCTGTTGATCCCGCACCACAGCTGGAAGGACTGCCGCAAAAACCATCAACGCCACACCAACTGCATTCACGATGCACTCGGCCGCAACTTTCACATAGTAGAGTGAACTGGTCGGAACCACCCCACCTAACAGGAGCTGATCCGCCAGAACATAAACTGGAACCGATTCGTTTTCCAGGGCTTGCTTGTACAAGAAGGAAAGTTTGTGCTCTGTAGCAGAAAGCCTCTCAAGGAAAGAGTCTTCATCCAGTGTGGTTTGTGTGAGGTACATGGATCCGACATTGACCAGGTCAGTCAGCCTCTGCTGTCGTCTGGTAGCCTGGTCAGGCTTCTCTTGTTCAGAATCCTTCGATTTCTCAAAGGGCAAGGTGAAAGGTAATTTGATTTTGGACAAGAAGATACGCTCGAAATGTCGCAATAAGGGTTCGTGCGCCACGTCCGCAAGGGCCAGTTCCAGCCGAGTCATATCAACAATGACCTTGGAGCTTGTGTTTTTCACAATTATTCGCCACCTGACATGAGAAACATCCTACAAAAAGTAGAGCAAACAAAGTGTCCATCAAACAAACCTGGGCCACTTCATTCAGGTAGATCCACATGTGTTTTTTCTTTTGCAGGTCGGTCAGCTCCTCGGCGAGTGTGTTTCTTCGCTGAATCAGGCTGTTGAGGCAGCGACTCAGGCTGTCCAGGCAGCAATTATAAGTGCTCGTTGTTCGGGACAATTGTCTCTCATCACCTTTTGCCATCTTGGACAAATGTTTCACACCCCGCAATACTTGCCACTCACGCCAAATACGAACTGGAAAACTGAGCGGGGTAGCGCGGATCCACTTTGGACAAATCACATCCGCGATTTGGTTCATGGCAACCTTGGGTTCTGGAAGATTTTCCCCTGCTGCTTCATCCGCGATTTGGTTCACGGCTTCCTTGGGTTCTGGAAGATTTTTCCCTGTTGCTTCTTCCTCACCATTTTCACCAAAGAAAGTGTAGCTGAAACAAGTCGGGGATTTTGTCCCAAAACAAATGTTGTCGGGAATTGTGTCCTCAGTGTCTGGACTGTTGAGCAACTTGCGGATATTCTTTTGAAATCGGCTTTCGAGGATTCCTTCTAGTGCATCACGAACTTCCGTCTCGCTGTCTAGGTCGTCAGTGGACCTCATTTCATATTCCATCGCCTCTGACAGCACCACTCCAATCATCAGCCACCGAGGCAAAAGGAGTTCCATGAGGTACACCCTGCTGAAATCCCCCGACACAATCCAAATCAGCAATCCCACGTTCAACAAAGATGAAACAGTAGCCGAGACATAATGTTCTGCAGATTGGTGCGCGAGGTAATTCCTCTTAAAGACTTCCTTCCACAACTTTGAAAAGCCATGTCTTTTCTCAATTCTAATTCTGACCCTGCCATCGTCAAGGTGTTCCTTGCAATCGTCGTGAGAGTGATCGCCATCGTCATGACCTCAAAAGTGAAGAACCGCACTGTTGGCAGTTCGTTGGCACTTTGTAATATTGAGTCACACATCACATCTTGTTTGCATTCCCCTTCCATGGATACTCGTATTCTAGATTGAACGAAGTTTTCAGCACAATGACCGAACTACTTGCTGGACTTGAATAAAGCCATACTTACATTGTCCAGTGTTTTACAGCAGGTAATCTATGATATCATTGTTAGCTAACTTTAAAATACGCTGCGCTAGTTCCCACAAAAGAAACACAAAAACAAATTGCACATTGTGTGATGATGGATCGTTTCCTGCATGTTAAGAAAATTTTGCGAAGACAAATGTTCAATAAGGACACATTAAACATAACATTGTGTGCTTGTGTGTCGGAACATGAACTGGTTTGTTGGAATGTTGAAATGTATTGTGAACTTGAACATTACTGTACATTTCTTTTCACACGTCACACACAGGAAACATGTTAATGCCAAAGAATGTGGTAAAATGCTTGCAGTTGCCACAGCGGACCAATAACACAACATTTAGGAAAACATGTGTGAAAAAAAACACAAAACAAATACAGCAAAGGCGCAGATGTGAAGACGTGCATGTCTGGATATGCGCAGGTATGAAAATGTGTGCATGTCTGGATATGTGCAAATGTAAGTTGTGATGATATGTACTGTTCGTGTCTTTACGCCTGTTTTTCTTACGGAGAACCCTTCGCGCAGGCGGTTTCAGCAAAAACCGGACAACATAAGTAGCAAAGAGCCCGCAACCTCTTGGAATTCGTTCCCAGTAACCTCCCTGAGTGCTCCTCGACACCTCGTTCTTGTGGAGGAGAGGCCAAATTTTGTACGCTTTGATGGTCACGAGGAGGCACACCAAAAGCAACCCAAAAGGACTGCAAAGATTCACAACGAATATGAAGACCAGCCGTACACTGTTCATTTGAAGCCTGTCCTCAGCTACAGGCCGCATCCACAACATCCATCAACCAACCACAGTTTCTCAACATTCCCTGCCAAAAGCATTAAAAACAAGATGTAACCCACGAACCCGAATGCAAACACGTCCTCAAAAAACAAGCACCCAAACAATGTTTGGCACTCTTGTAGGAGACACTCTTGTGGGACCCTCTTGTGGGACACATTCTCTTTGGAAATCTTTTGAGGGGCACTTTTGCGCACTCTTGAGGGACACCTTGTGGGACACTCTTGCGAAACACTCTTGTAGGACACTCTTGCGGGACACTCTTGTGGGACATCCCACGCTCTTGTGTGACACTCTCTCTCGCGGGACACTCTTGCGAAACATTCTTGTAGGATACTCTTGTGGGACACTGGGACACTCTTGTATACGTCACTATTGTACTCTCGTAAACACTCTTGTCGGACGCTCTTGTGGGACACTCTTGTGGGGGCACTCTTGTGGGGCACGCTTGCGGAACACTCTTGTCCCACTTTCTTGTGGATACTCTTATGAGACACTCTCGCCGGACACTCTTGCGGCACACTCTCGTAGGACACTCTTGTGGAAAACCCTTGTAGGAAACATTTGTAGGACACTTTTGTCCAACACTCTTGTGGCACTCCCTCATGGGGCACTGTACAAGTAGGGCCCTCTTGCAGGACACTCCTGTAGGACCGTCTTGTGGGACACTCTTGCGGACACTCGTATAGGACACACTTGTTGGACATTCTTGCGAAACACTCTTGTGGGACACTCTTGTGGGACACTCATGCGCGACACTCTTGTATGTCAAATTTGTGGAACACTCTTGTTAGACACTCTTGTCGGACAGTCTTGTGGGACACTCTTGTGGGACACCCTTGACTTGTACGAAACTCTATAGGACACTCTTGTCGGACGCTCTTGTGGGACACTCTTGTGGAAAACTCTTGTTGGACACTCTTGCAGGACGCATTCTTGTGGGACATCCTTGCAGGCCACTCTTGCGGGGCACTCTTGTAGTACACTCTTGTGGAACGCTCTTCTAGGAAACTCTTGTCGGACACTCTTTTGGAACAGTCTTGTGGGACACTCTTGTCCGACACTCTTGCGGAATACTCTTGTGTGGGACACTCTTGTAGGGCACTCTTGTCGAGCACTCTTGCGGGACACTCTTGTTCCGCACTCTTGTAAGACACTCTTGTGGGTCACTCTTTTAGGACACTCTTGGTTGGCATTCTTGTGGGTCACTCTTGCAAGACACTCTTGTCGGACACTCTTGTGGGACATGCACGACTCTAGAAGACTCTTGCGGCACACTCTTGTGAGGCACTACTACTAAAGTCTCCATGTCAACTGTCACGTCTCCAAAACGAGTATTTTGTACGAGACTTCTTCTAAAATTCCCACGTCAAGTCTCCAAAACGAGCGTTTCGCGCTCGACTTCCTTAAAAACTAACACTTCAAGACTGCAAAACAAGCATGTCGCACGACTTCTTCCAAAATTCACTCGTCAAGTCTCCAAAAGGAGCGTTTCGCGCGAGACTTACTCAAAACCCCACACTTGAAGTCTGCAAAACAAGCGTTTCGTACGAGACTTCCTCCAAAAGTCACACGTCAAAGTCTCCAAAACGAGCGGTTCGTCCAAGACTTCCTCCACAAGTCAAGCGGGAAGCCCCATCCTAGCAAACACATCAAGTAGCTCTGCCAAGCAGTTTCGGCGATTCCGTCCCCTCCAAACAACACCCGCCCACACGCCAATCCCAATGTCACAGCGACATTCACCTCCACCACAACTCGCAACCTTACGATTCCCTGCGCCTACCACAAAAATTTGCACGTCCACACTGACACGTCTAACGCGCAGAAAGCAATGCGCCTGCCACAAAATGTGACCTCCGCCACGCCTCACAACCTCACGATTCCCTGCACCTACCACGAAAACTTGGAATGATTCCGACACGTTCTGAGCACACTGCCATCCACCAAAATCGCAATTTGAGCTGAGACTTGTCGCGAAAACACAGCTTCGAAGCAACAGCCTGAAACGCAAATCCCAATGTCACAGCCACATCCAACACCCCAAAAACACCACCCTCCAAACGCCAATCCCAATGTGGAAAGTGCTGTGCCTGCTACGAAATCTGCACTTCGAGGTTCACCAAGTGCTGCACCTGGCTGGGGATCTGCACTTCGACGTTCACAAAGTGCTTTGCCTGCCACGAAATCTGCGCTTCAAAGGTTCACACAGTGCTGCGCCTGAAACGAAATCTGCACTTCGAGGTTCACAGCGCTGCGCCTGCCACGAAATCTGCACTTCGAGGTTCACAAAGTGCTGTGCCTGCCACGAAATCTGCACTTTTAGGTTCACAAAGTGCTGTGTATACCGAGCCACATACGATTCACTGCACCTGCAGGTCACGAAACGAAATCAGAGGGCCTCGACGATCACCACCGTGTCCAAAGCGCTGTGCCTGCCACGAAATCATACGAAATCTGCACTTCGAAGTAAAGCCGCTCCGATCCCTTGCACCTGTCACGAATAAAGTCGACTTTGGACCACCAAAACACGAGGTTTTCCTTGCGCCTGCCACGAAAAGTGACCACCATGCGCGAAAATGTGCACGGCGCTACAACGAGAGCGCAGTCGCGACAAGCACTCGCCGCCGCCATCCAGATTTCGCGAGCCTCCGCACTCGAAATACACTTCGAGGATTTCGAGAGGCGCGAATGTAACAGTAAATAGCAGTGAATTAGCTGTTGACGCCCGCGCGCCCCAGCGATCTAAGCACAGCTGCTTCACAACTACTACCACACTGTTTGGGGAAAAAACAAACGCCACCTGAATTGGTCCGAGAATCGTTATGATAGTGCCCATCTTTGAAAACCTGCTTGTTGCCTTCCTTTGCGTCATTGATGATATTGATGTCAATCATTGCAGCACTGCGACGCAGGAATTTATCCTACCAGCTGATTTGACTTCCAGCAGCATCAAATTCTATGATATACAATCTGGCAGAATCTGGTCAACATGTAGTGTTGAAATGTGTTGAATCTACTGGAACTTGTCTCGGTCACTTGCTGTCATGGATTTCAGGCCCGCAACTTAGTTCTTGGGAACAAGCACTCTCTTTACTTGGCAGGAGCCCATGTCCCCAAGAGTCTTGCCCGGGCAACCACGGTCACGGTCAACTTCACCCAGTGTCCTGCTGGGCTGGGGTGGTCTTTGCGTCCGTTGCCTCCGGTTCTGCCGCCGCATCCGCGGTCAAAACTTTTGTGGAGCTCTGTGAGCCGCTGGTGCCGGAGAGCAAGGGCCGCAAGGGCTGTTCCTTAAAGAGCCATGGATGCGAAGCTGTCAATGCGAAGCACGGCTCCTGTGTTTTGAGGGGTAATATCACGGCTCTGTTCAGTTTGAGCGCATTCTTTAGAAGAGCGGTGTGGGCTCTTTGTTTGGTAAACTTAGGAGTCAACAGTAATCAAAAGTGTGAGAAAGTTGGAACGCTAATCAAATGTCATGGTGATCCTTCTATACGCATGCCTGGCTCTCGGAGCTCGAAACAAGAACACGACATGTTCGATCATCGTGAACAACTGTGAAAAGAAGAAACGCTTGTAACTTGTCTGACTAGTCTGCATGGTTTTACCCCTGCTTTGTTCAAAACAAGGACCTCAAATGGACGTCAAGGACGTCACCGTCGCCAGGGTCAAGCGTCAGGCTCTTCTCCATCAGGCTCTTCACCCTTCCCAATAACCGAGGCGAGCCGAGGGTCCTGGAAGAGGGACTGCCCCCAATAGCGGCTTGGGGCGCCTTTCCTTTTTGGACGAACCATGACATTCCATGGTAAGTCCATGACCGTCTTGCAGGGTTTGCCCTATCAAAAGCTAAGGGTTTGCAGCACTTGACATATCTCGGCATCAATGCAAATGCCATTCTTTCTGCCTCCCGGTCCTCATTGGTGCCATGCTTCGCCGCTTGCTTCGATTTTCTGTTGGGTGCTTTAGCTTTCACCTTATGCTTCACCTTCGGCTCCTGAGGATCCTTCGGGCCACTCTCCTCCATTGGGAGGCGAGCATCGGGCGGCGCCAGCGCTGGAAAATGTGCTGCGGGATGCATAAGCCTCGCCAAGTGCTGAGGATGCCTGGCGTGTCCACTGACGTTGCTCCTAGCCAAGTTGCTTTGATTTAAGTTAAACTCAACAGGGAACTATAAGATGAACGTGCACCTGGGACCGGGACCCCCTCCCAATTCCTGCCTTCGGCCTTCGCTGGTTCGCCAAGCCTTGCCAGGCTTGCGTTTTGGGTACTGTAAATGGTACGTACCAACATCAATGTAAATCAACCATCATGATCAATAATGACTTGTTCAATGGATTCCCTACAAGCACGAATGGATCAAGTGGAGACGAGAGGCTCACTGATGAGAAAAGAACACTGCCGGGCCAGCTCGCGTGGATTCTCTGTGGAAGGGGGGGTGAGGGGAAGCTGCTTTCCAACCGATTAAGCTGGCCAAAGTCCGCCGACCCCACACCGTGGGGTGAGGCGTGACTGTCGATGTTAGCCTTAGCCTTAAGCCTTAGCCTTAGCCTTAGACCTTAGACCTAGTCCTTAGCCTTAGACCTAGACCTTACCTCCCCTACCCCTCCGGACCCTTGTTGGAGTGACGAAATCCGGTCGAATTTCGCCAGGAAAGCGACCTGGATTGTCCAAGAATCTGCCATCCCCAATTGATTTACATCTTGGGGCACCCTCTCGACCCGCGCGGGAAAATAAGCACGGTCCAAAATGGTCCTGGGCTCGAATCCCGGGCTGGTCGCGGCATGGTCCCGGCCAATGCCCTTGTTTTTTTCGTAGATTTTGTCACGTTTTCTGTTGGTTTATGAGATTTTCAAAGGCTTTTCTGGCACTTTCCTAGGAATGCTCTAGGCTTTGTCTAGATTTTGTTATGTTTTCGGCTGGAGGCTTTTCCAAGAATTTTCTAGCGCTTCCTCTTGTTTTTAGGTTCCCAGATTTCACCCAAAAATTGGTAACCTTTTGCTAACCTATGGAACTTTCAAAAGCTTTTCTAGCATTTTCCTAGGAATGCTCGATCGATTCAGCCCAAGTCCAGGCGCCGATACTTGTGGCACTTGAATGTACCCTAGACCGATGGTAAATCTGGGAGGTACCCCAAAAGTCGACTTTTTGGGTACCTGCTTTGGTGGTGATGGGTTGGGTCACCGGGAGAAACCGATCGATTCAGCACAAGTCCGGGCGCCGAGTCGACTTTTTGGCTACCTGCTTTGGTGGCAACGGGTTGGGTCGCCGGGAGAAACCGATCTCCTGTGGGGAGAAGGGTTCAGCATCACCGGGCTCATGCAAGCGATGACGTCCGATGGTAAATCTGGGAGGTACCCAAAAAGTCGACTTTTTTGGTACCTGCTTTGGTGGTGATGGGGTAAATCTGGGAGGTACCCGAAAAGTCGACTTTTTGGGTACCTGCTTTGGTCATGATGGGTTGGGTCATCGCGAGAAACCGATCGATTCAGCACATGTCCGGGCGCTGAGGTGACTTTTTGGGTACGTGCTTTGGTGATGATGGGTTGGGTCAGGGTCACCGGGTTCATGCAAGCGATGACGTCCGATGGTAAATCTGGGAGGTACCCAAAAAGTCGACTTTTTGGGTACCTGCT